CACTGACCCTTTGATTAACAACATATATATATATATTATATATATATATATTTTAATTTACTAAATTTTGGATCACCTTCTAGGATATTTTGTCAAATTATTCAAACTTTATGATGATGATTTTTTTTTAAATACATAAGGTTTGGGAAAATGCTATAAGCCATAATTAAAGTTCTTTCATTGTAATGAGTTTAATTTAAATCCTTTAAAAATAGATAATAGCCCACTAATATAATTTCTCAAAGGAATCAAAGCTAAGGGGGATGCAGAGAACTTCTAGAAAAGGTTGGAGAGAATCCTACGTACTGACATTTTTGCATTTGTGGAGAACTTATTTTGTGATTCACATAATGATGAGTTAGATAAATGTGTCTATATCTATGCATGATTTTGAAGTCATCCACTTGAATTTTTATCTTCAATTCAGTCACTAAATTTTCAAAGACAATATAAGCAGAGAACTTTGATTTCCTTTCAAACACTTGACATTATTTCCAAAAGTAGTCCTGTTTCTGAAACATGTCTAAAAATTGTTTATCTACTTTTTTGCATGGCCGATTTTACAAATTGACGGTCTCTATGGGTATTTTATGCTTACAACAACTTGGAAATAATTTAGCATTTAAATTTTTTCTTATCTGAGGCAACTCAGGCTGAATGTTAATTCAATTCTTAGTTAAATGACATTTAAAATTTTCTTTAAAAAGACACAACTTTACATTTATAAAACTTTTAGTTTTTTACTCTAGGGACTCTAAAACATGAACATAGGGAGGTCCCTATCAGATCATTTACAAGACAAAAAAACACTAACATGTCCTATAAGCCCCTCAACAAAACGGCATTCAGCCCTACCCAGTCTTACTCTCATTAACAGTGAAGAGTTTGCTCTCTGCATAATCTAACATGGAACGCTTAGAGCAGACAGGTGCAAATTGCAAGCTGTTTCACTTTGGCTGTTATCCCTTAAATCGACAGAGTAATAGACTGGGAGAACAAAAAAGGTTGCAGCTCAAGCTGCATAAATGAAAGTCTTAACAGGGACACACCAGCTGGCTAGGAGAATTCACTGTAGTGAATACTAAATACTACCTTGATGCCACTTGCCCAGGAAAAAGGCTTCAATAACACCCCCTACCTTTTATTATTGAGATGACGTTCCTTCAAAACCGTATTTTGCTTGATTGTAAAGGAGACACTATGGCCCGAAGTGGATGAGAACAGAAGCCAACGTACCTGTTACTGTTTCCCATCATTACACTCCTCCGAGCGATTCAGGCATGATTAGGTTCCTGGAGGTGGACCAGACTAACAGTATTTCTATCCACGTCTCTTTTTGGCTGATCCAAGCAAAGCCCCAGAGCAGAGAAACAACAAAAACAATCACCACTACCCCCTCCTCCCCAACGCGATAAATCTGCTGAGCTAGGCTGCAGAAAAAAACGGTTGTTCGTGTTAGGAACACCTACGTTAATTTCAAGGAGGAGACATGCCCCGCCAGTTATGTGTAGGAATCTAGGGTCTGCGTTTCTGAAAAGGGACCCTAACTCTGTCATTCCCAAGTTGCTTCTTTTTGTGACTTCCCGGTGTGCCCTGGAACTGCTGTCCGAAGGAAGTAACCTTAACTTTAGCTCTGAGGCCGCTGAGTAGGTCTGACTGTGCGATCTTCCGGTGCACGTGAGGGGAGGCAGACAACTCCCAGCCGGCCTTGTTTACAGCCCGACAGAAGAAAACAGCTAGACACAAATGAGGGCTGACGGTTTCACGAAGCACAATGGGTTGATCCCAGATTCAATCTGACTGCCCTGAACTGAGCGATGATCTGTGCAGTATGCAGAATTCACTATCTGGCTGGTCTGTGCCCACCAGGCTTCGAGCCGCGCAGCCCGCGCCCCTGGGCCACGGCTTTGAGAGGAACCAGAGCCGGGCACTGCACCGCGGGACCGATTCCTTCTGACAACAATCACATTCTTTTAAAAACTTCTTAGGTTTTGGTTGTCACTGGTTATAAATGAGTTTGTTGTTGTTCGCGTTCGCTACTCTATCGTAGATTTCCTTTCAAGTTGAGGGTGCTGGCGTCAAAAGATATTTGTTGCTTTTTAATGAAAAGGAAAATATCATCAAAAACTGTCAATTCTTACAAATTTCATGCAGTTTTGTTTTTTTCTCTGTTCAGATCAGAAAGTATTACTTCTTTTTTCCCACACTATGTAATATAGTCATATTTAGTAGGATAACCTTACCAAAATAAAAAAAGACCTGATTTATCACTAAGAACGCATCTGAAGGAAATATGTTACTAGAAACTACTCACTTTGCTTTGATTTAGAGTTAGATTATATTATATCAATTAAATAGAAATATGAAAGCAAAAAGCCGTGGGTCGTATCTATTGTAATTTTAGTTAAGATTTCTAAATATTTTGCTTTTCTTCGGAACTAAATTGATACCAGTGAGAAGCAGGAAGACACTGATAACTAAATCTTGTTTCTTAATTTAG